ACACACACACACACACACACACACACACACACACACACACACACACACACACATACATGCTTCAGATGGTTCTCTAGAAGTGGAGGATACAATGCAAAATGTAGCTGATGTAAAAAACAAAAGATATCAATCAAACTTTATTTAAAAAAATAAAATTTCTGGAATTGAACTGAATTATTCACCAGATTTGATCCTGAACAACTTCTGGGTGTTTCCCAAAATTAAATCTACCCACAAAGGCTGAACATCTGCAACCTTTGAAAATATTCAAAACAATGTGCTGTGGAGTCTGAAAGCAGCCGCCACCCACGTGTTGAGCAGCAGCAACTTTGGGTGAAAAAGAGAAAACTGAACGTACAGTTCTGATGTGTTTGTTAAAAAATCACCCGCAGTCCTTTAGCATTGCAGCTCTTAGAAAGGGGATTTGGTGGAAATTAAAACCAACTGATATTCTTCAAGCCCCTACTGTGTACAGAACATTGTTCTAGGGAGGAGGGGGCCCAGAAAGAGATGCACAGAGCATCCTCATGTTCAGGGCCACTACACATCCTGATAGAGAACTCAGAATCAAAGACTGTCTGGAGTGTGGAGAGAGTTGGGCCAGGACGACCTGGCTAGAAGGGTGTAATGGAGATGTCTCTTTGGGATGGTGAATGAGGTACTAGAAGAAGGTGAGAAACGTGAGAGATACTGCAGACACAGAAATGACGACACTTGCCTCAAGACTAGGAAGGAAATGTATACCAAGCTATGAGGATGGATAAGATTGCCAAGGGATGGATTGAAGAGAGAAACAAGAAGAAAGAGAAGAGGAGGGAAGAGGAGGGAAAAGAAAAGGGAAGGGAAAGGAAGAGGGCAGGGCGGGACAGGGAAAAGGAAGGGAAGGGAAGAGATGAGAAGAGAAAAAGAGATCCCTGGGGAATACCCACCTTGGGGGATTTAGAAGAAGGCAGGAGGCCAGTACAGGAGACAGAATCTGCAGCTAAGGGAAGTAGGAGGAGAGCCAGGAGAGTGTGGTGTGTCTTAGAATCCAAAGGAGGAGGCAGGATCCAGTAGGGGAGGGTGGCAAAGGCTGCAGAGAGACCAAGCAGGATGGAGACTGAAAGACGGCCCGTGGGTGGGGGGACCGGGAGCTCATTGGTGGTGTCAGAGTGTAGTTTCTGTACAATGGGGAGAGAAGGCATGTAAGTAGGAGTGGAGCAGAAAGTGGGTGGCAACACGTGAGGCACAGTGGGTGGGAATGTCAGATCACTTTTAAAGGAGTCTGACAACAAAGGGGAGAGGGGGAGAGATGCCACAGTGGCTGGTGGGGGGATCAAAGAGAGTCTTTTTTAGACTTAGGGAGACCTCCTCGCTTTGGTCGGAGGTGGAACGCAGCAGGTCACAGAAAAGGGGAGGCTGATGATGCATGAGAAAGAAGAGAAGACTGCTGTCATCACAGGTTGTTGAGAACCTGGAGAGGGTGGAATTGAGCACAAAGGCAGAGGGATCACATTCAGCCCAGAGGAAGGAAATCCTAGCCCAGGAGAAAAGCTGGAAAGGATCAAGTAGACGAGGATGACCCTGGAAGGTTTTGAAGAATGCAGAAGCTGGGGGTGAGGGTGGGATATGGGTACGTACGTTGAGGGAGGTCATAGGATCACAGATGTAGACCTAGAAGAGGCCGACCTTAGAGGTCGAGCCCAACCTCATTATGAGACAGACGACAAAACCGAGGCCCAGGAAGTTTAGGTGAATGGCCCAGGTCCAGAAAGATATCAAGCATCCGAGGCTAGACTTGAACCCGGTCTCCTGACTAAAAGTGCAGCGCTGTGCACCATGCTCTCCTTCACCATGTGCACCGGCTTCAATCTTCTCTGTGAAGCAAAGGATCGTAACAGGAGAGCATACAATGGGTGTTCACAGGAACACGTTCACAGTAGACATAGTATGTTTATAGTAGAAGGTTCAGAGTAGGATATAGGATATTTGGAGTAGAGCGTACATAATAACATAGGACGTTCACAGCAGAACGTTCATAGTGGAACATTAGATATTGACAGAAGAACACGCAAAGTCAGAGCCAGGAGAGGCCGTAGAACACAGAATGTCAGAACTCAGAGGGACCTTGAAGGCTACCTGGACCAACCCACTCATTTTAGAGAGGAGGAAAGTGCCTTGCTCAAAGTCACACAGGTGACAGAGCAGAGATAGTGCTGACTCAGGCACCACTGGGTAACTGAAGAGAGGTTAAGGTTTTTAATGATGTTTGCTGTGGGTGGGTAGCTAATGGTGACCCCCAGGTGGACTGCGTCCCATCAAAGCTTTGAACACATGGAAAGCCTGAAAATATTGGATGGAGCTTTTGTCTTTTACCTAATTATCTCGTAGGAACTAACGAGCGAGGCAGGCCTAACTTGGCAGCCGCCGCCACTGTGTACATGATTGCTGCTGGGGTCAGCCTAGCAGGACTGGGTCAATGAGTCAGTGTAATTACAGCTGAGAGAAATTAGATGATTAAGTGATTACTGACGGCTTTCTGTACACTCTGGAGACACAAACAGTTCATGTCTTTCTTTAGTGAAAAAGCAAACTGTTGGAACACAATGCTGAGGGTAGGGAGAGATGCAGGCAGCCCTAATGAGGCGCATGGGCACACTCGGGGTCTGAGAGACATTCCTGAAGGGCCCTGCAGAGGACTCACCGTGGTAACCTGCTTGACTTCAAACCACTTGAGAATCCCAGGAAAGGTGTAGGCGGTGGTATAGGTGGTCCTCTCGATCCACATGGTCTGGGCACGGAAGGGAGCAGAAAACCATCATTCTAGCCCTCACAGCCCTCCCCAGTGGCCTATCCAGAGAATGGGAGTGAATTTTCCCTAAAATATTTGAATCATAGAATGTGAGAGTTGGGGGCTTAGAACATAGGATGGGAGAGCTGAGAGGGACTCTAGAACATGGGATGGGAGAGCTGGGAGGCTTAGAACATAGGATGTCACATCTGGGATGGCCCCTAGGATACAGAATGATGGAACAGAGAATGTTATGGCTTCAAGGGGCCTTAAAGTATAGAATATTAGCTTGTGAAATGCACATGAAGAAGCCCTGAAAACACAGAAGCCCATGTTTGACCAAGGTGGCGGGAAGGGAATAGATTCACATAACGGAACCACCCTTTTTTTTCTGTGCATCACAGGCTCGGGGAGAGAGAGAGAGCCAATGGGGCCTGGAACACATCAGGCTATTTGTTTGTTAGGTAAGGAGAGAACACAGGACTCACCGCGAACTCATTGTCCGGATCCTTTTCTCCTTTCCGAAAGGGCCGGGAATGTTGGAACTGCTGAACCTCATTGGCCCTGTAGTAGCTGGAGAAAAACAGCCGAGCACCCAGAGTCACCTTTCTTCTGACAGACAGCTCGCACACCACAATGATCATGTGCATAGCATCTTTCTATTTGCAAAGTACTTTACAGATGTTAGCTCATTTGATTTTCACAACAGCCCTGCGAGGTGGTTGCTGTTTTTACTTCCATTTTACAGATCAGGAAACTAAGGCCAAGAGAGGACCTGCTTGGGATCACATGGCCAGGAAGTGACTGAGGCAGGATTCTAATCCAGGTCTTCATGACTGCAGCTCCACATCACCACCTAATTGCTTCTACCAACCCAAATCTGCTGCCTAGAACTGTCCTTCATAAATTCACGGACTCAGCAGAATGTCAGGGCAGCAAGGGAGTTTGAGATCTTCTATCCAATAATAAAAAGGAGGAACAGCTAGGTGGCACAGCGGATAGAGCACCACCCTGAAGTCAGGAGGACCTGAGTTCAAATCCAGCCTCAGACCAAACACTTGACACTTACTAGCTGTGTGACCCTGGGCAAGTCACTTAACCCCAATTGCCTAAAAAAACCCACCAAAAAAAATAGTAAAAAGGAGACTGACAATAGCTAAGACTTACATGGTGCCCGAAGGTTAGCAAAACAATTTACAAATGTCATTTCATCTGACGGTCAAAATTACTCTGTGCTGCTGGGGTGATGGTGAGTGTTATTCTGTTTTACAGATACAAAGGGTGAGGACCGCAGAGCTTGAGTGACTTGTCCAAGGTCACACAGCTAAGGGGTAAGGGCTAAGTTCAGAACCAGTCTGGCATTCTTGACTATCTGCCATGTTGTTTTACTTCCGCTCCCTCCTTTTAAAGAGGATTGAACTGCCTTAGAACAAAAGCACCATCCTTATAGGAAAATGGAAAGCCGGACATTCTACCAGTGATAATCAGGGCCTCATTTTTCTCTCTTGTTCAATGAGGAGACACAGTGTAGATAGAATGAGGTGATGCAGTATTGCCCACAGTATCTTATGCATGTACATCTCATACAAATATCATGGCATCTTGAATAAAGAGGTCACCAACTAGGAAAGGAAGTGGGTGGGTCATGAAGTGAGATAGAGGGATAGCCAGCGTGGGTGCTGTGACATGCGCCACAAAGTATGGAAGCACCTGAGGAAGGCTTTAGCATGTGGGGGAGGCCCTCTACTGAGCATGGATGCAATGACACAGATGAGGGAGAAGTCCCACAGGATGGAGAGGTACAGATGGGCTGGGATCTGCAGCTGAGGAAAGCTGAGGCCCAAGAAAACGGGCATATGCTTGGACATCTCCCACTTAATCGTCCATTTTATTGAACCATATAAGTACCTTAATATACATACAGACATGTGCATAAACCGCTCACGCAGATATACTGTGTAAATATATCAGTACATCAATCCTGTCCTTTCATAACTCTACCATTGGCCAGTGCATACCCACATCAAATCACTTTGTAGCCTCCAGGAGAATGTAATCTCCCTGAGGGCAGAAAATGACTCACTTTTGTGTTTGTACCCCCAGTATTTAATCTATTGCTTGCAATTCAATTCAGTAAGCATTCAATATGAACCAATTACACACCTGAAAATAACAGGTGCCCAAGAAGTATCTGGTTGCACTGAACTGGACAAACGGCCCCTTCGCTCAGTACACTTAGACATGCAGGGCTGGAGGGCTGGCTGGCTAGCTCCGTTTGAGTTGGAAACCTGGGCCCTCCCAGCTCTAACTGCGCCATCCCATGCTTCCCAGCACAGGTGGAAGTCGGACTGGTTTTGCAGCCACTTACTTCAAGATCTGCTCTGGCACGGGCTTGTCCTTGTAATTTGGAGGCAGGTTCATCACCGGCTTCACTGTGAAGCACTGCATATCTGAGGCTTTGGTTAAGGAAGCGATGTGGGAGCCCAGTGCTGCAGTCTATCTCCTCTGCTCCACCTCCCCGGACGGCCATTCTGCAACTCCTCCCTTCTCCCCGAATGACAGGACAGCTCTATTATTCACGACCAATGTACCTTATTAATCAACCCACCTCTGGACTTTGTGGCTGATAGTCTTGTAGACAGCCCTGGCTTAAAAGACTCAAAGGGAAATGAGGCATCAATAAAACAAGGAGAAGCCGCATGACCCATAATCCCAGTTCATTCTTTTGGATGTGCCCTCCTACTTGTGTCAGGAATTGGAGGGCCGACTATCCTTCACTTCGTGTTGGGGACAGTAATACTCCAAAGACCTCAGCCAAGAGAAACATTGAAGGAAGAGGGTCTGGCACTAGAGACTCCAGTCTGGATAACTGTGCATCAACAGATCTCAAGGAGCACCCTTGACTCGTTAACAAGCCCTTCGTTACCCGGCTCTCCCCTCCCCCACCTTCCTAGACTTCTCACACCTCATACTCTGCCCAGCCACGTACTCCTCAGTCCAGAGACAGTGACCTCCCTGCTGCTCATCCATCTCCCACCTCCAGGCATTTTCACCGGCGGTGCCCCATGCATAGAATTCCCTCCATCTTTGTCTCCCATCCTGGCTTCCTTCCAGTCTCAACTAAAGTCCCGACTTGTACAGAAAACCTTTCCATTTCTCCTCAATTCCTTGAAACCCTTCCCTTGATTTGTTCCAAACTGTGTGTAGCTTGTTTGTACATAATTCTTTGTTTGTTGTCTCCCCTTTAGACTGTGAGTTCCTTGAAGGCAGGGACTATCTTTTACCTTCCTTTGCATTCCCAGTGCTTAGCATAGTGCCTGGCACACAGTAGGCACTCAATAAATATTTATTGACTCTTTGCCAATGCTGTGGTACTATACATACATTGTTTCCTTAAGGACTCATAACAACCCTATCAGGTTGGGACCGCGGCTGTTTTGGGCTCCTTTTATAGATGAGGAAACTAAGGCTAAAGGAAATGGTCTGACTTCCTTTATTGTTTAGTCAATGAGTCATGTCCAACTCTTCATGACTCCATTTGGGGTTTTCTTGGCAAGATATTGGAGTGGTTTGCCATTTTCTTTTCCAGCTCATTTTCCAGATGAAGAAACTGAGGCAAACGACTTGCCCAGAGTCATACCAGAGTCCACTAGTAAGTCTCTGAGGCTAAATTTGAACTCAGGTCCTCCTGACTCCAGGGCTGGTGCTCTATCCATGATTTGCTTAGGGTCACATAACTAATAAGTGTCAAGAGGTTGGATTTAAACTTGGGTCTTGACTCCAAATCAAGTACTCCACCAACAATACCCCACTGTCTGTTAAGAGTGGTGGTCGTGCTAAACAGTTTTAGTGACTTCTGGGTTATTTCTCCTGAAATTGTGAGAATGCCAATGGAACACATGCCCTCATTCACTGGCTATCCCTTGTTACTCACCCATTATATCACCCACCACTGTCTGTTAAGAAGACTTATTAATTGAACACTATATTTTCAGCTTCCAGATCAAAGCCTTTCCGTGAAGGAAGGCATTTGTTAAGTACTGACAGATGGAAAAACGAGGCAGTTCCTGATTTCAAAGAGTTTACTTTCTGATTAGAGGAGACAATATATATAGGAGGGTTCAGCTGCAGGGTGGGTGGAAAGACCTGGTGGTCCTTCGAGTCTAGCAGCAGGGAAGGTGGCAAGACAAGGAGCCAATGGTCACTTCTCCTGGACCATGATATACCAAGTGGTCATTACTCTCCAACTCAGGGTAGCTGGACTTTGGAGCCTGGCCTAGGGGTTATGAGATCTTCCCGTTGGGGAAGGAAAAGTGTTGGAAAATGCTAACACATTATTATGGGCTCAGTCCAGCTTAAGAAAGCAGTAGGGAGTGGATCAAGACTCACTGATTGGCCGTGGACTAGCCAAGAGTCATTACACAGGAAAGCAAAGAGCTTTACGCTTTGATTCAGAATTCAGGGCGCAGCTGCTTTCTTTGAGAAGTGAGTGGGAGGGTAAAACAAAGGAACTCAAGTTGCCTTTGGTGCATTTCAGGGTACGCTCTGAAGAGTATTGGAGAGGGCCATACATTGAGCTGGCTTGGGCTAAGCTGAACTGTAGTGAACTGACAAGCGGGAAGCATCATTGAAACTTATTCAGTCTGTAGGCTGATTTGGTTGAGTCCAGACACTGGGGACCATGATTCACTATCTATTCATGCTTCTGTTGTACTACAGACACCCTCAAAAACAAATGGGAAGACACTAATGAGGGACTTCAAGATGCCAATGGCTATTGTATCTTTCCATGTGGTCCCTCCAATCATGTCAATGGTGGTCCATCCAGTGAAACCCTTGTGCATGTCCTTTGTTAAGTTTACCAAAGGGGTTCACCTAAAATGTTGAAGGTCTTCCCTGAGTTCTCCTAACATTGCTCAGTTCTATTTATCACATTTTCAATGGGGCACTAATATTCCAATTATATTCATATGCCACAACTAGATTAATGGTGCTCCAGTTGATGGGCACTCACTTTGTTTCTCGTTACTTACAACAACGATAAAAAATGCTTCTATAAACATAGCAGTCTTCAGTCACCTAGTGGTGGTCATGCTAAACAGTTTTAGTGACTTCTGGGTTATTTCTCCTGAAATCGTGAGGATGCCAATGGAACACATGCCCTCATTTACTGGCTATCCTTTGTTATTCGTCCATTACCAGCCCATCTACTTTTTTAATCGTTTATTCTTTTTCTATCATACATACTCATAACAAAGAAGGACGTGCATTACTTTTTTTTCTGCCATATGTACTCATATTAATAAAGGACTTGGGACCATAAAATTTGAACTGGGAGGGGCCCTTAGAGATCACTTAATCCAATCTACTCAGTTTAAAGTTGAGGAAACTGAGACCCAGAGAGGTGAAATGATTTGCCCAAGGTAGTAACTGGAACAGATGGAATTTAAACTCAAGTCTTCTGACTCCAAATTTAGAATTCTTTCCACTATATCACCTCATAAATATGAGAAGAAGGAACCAGGTTATACACTATTGGAAGGCAACCAAACTACTCCCTCTGAACTACCCCTCTAGGGGACTAGTATGGAAGGGTTGTGATGGGGGTGGGGAGGGGAGGGCTCCTGTTCACATGCAAAAATAATTTCTGCTCATAAAGTCATAGGGAAAGGGAAGGGGATAAGTATTGACATAGTACCTACTATGTGCCAGGCACTGTACCAAGAGTTTTACAAAGATTATCTCATGTGATCCTCACAATAACTTTACAAGGTAAGTGCTGTTATTACCCCCATTTTACAGTTGGGAAAACTGAGGCAGACAAAGGTCAAGTGACTTGCCCAGGGTCACATAGCTAGAAAGCATCAGAGGACAGATTTGAATTGAGGTCTTTCTGACTCCAGGACAAAAGGCAACTGGTGATCAATATGAAATTGTGTTTTAATTTTTCAGCTGGCCTGTCCCCAAGTTTCTGTATAGTAAATGCTCAATAAATGTTGGCTGAATTAAAGTTTGACCTTTGGTTTATTTATGGCTGAAAACAGATAATAATTTTGTCTTTCTTTTACATTTGAGAAGGTTTATTGGAGGCTAAAAGTGGGGAGAGATCAAGTAAGAAACCGCGAGATACTGTATTTTAGATTATTGTTCTTAGAAATTGTCCAATTTTTGGTCAAATATCTGGAGGAAGAATGGAATAGAGATAAGAGCTAGACCTCTGATTTTGCTGCTATGGGGAAGGCTCAGGTGAGGAAACTCCCTCCACCTGTGCTGTGGACACCTTCTCTGGACCTTGACATTTTCTGGAGTGCTGCCTAGAGCTTTGAGAGGTTATAGGACTTGTCTAAGATCACACAACCAGTATCTGTCGAGGTAGGATTTGAGCACAGGTCTTCCTGGTTTCTAGGCCAGCTCTCTATCCACTATGCCACATGATTTAGTCAAATTTTGGTACCTGCTGGGTTGAGCAAGAAGACCTGGCAGGGTATCAGCCCCATTGATTCTACTTCTAGGATGAAGAACTTTGAGTTTACTTGGAATTTCAAAGAATGGTAGACTGGAAAGGTGGAAGGGACCTTTGAGGCCATCTAGTCTATCTTCTTATTTTCATGATGAGGAAACTGAGGCTCCTGGGGGTTATATGAGTTGGCCCAGCCCCAGACAGCCAGGCTGGGCTGGATTGAATACTACAAGTCAGAAACCCTGACTCTAAGTGCTGTGCTCTTTCTCTCATCTGAACCTATTCCTCACATTGCTTCTTACTCATCATTTCTTCCCACTAAGATAACTTATTTATTTTACGTTTACTTATCTGTATACATTGTCTTTTCGCTAATAAATTCCTCAAGGGCAGGGAATGTTCTGTCTTGTCTTTGCATTTCTAGTACCTAGTACAATGTCTGGCACGCACAAAGAGCTTAACAAATATTTAATGAATGAAATGGAATTGAATTATAGGGGCTCAGATATATTACACAAAGGGAAACTGAGGCAGAGAGCTGAAGCAAGTAGCTGATGGTCACAGGGAGTCTAGCCAAGATATCACTTAGCCTCCTAGCCAAGCCAAGTGAAAGCCATAGCAAAGGATACACTGTTTGGGAGATGATTTGATTTCCTCTCCTGGAGGAGTTGTACTGGTCATCTTCTCTGCATTGGGAAACTGAGTCAGCAGCTTCAGGTTGAAGTCTTCCCTCCGCTCATACTCCTTTCCTCGATAGATGAAGATTTTGTTCTGGATGTTCAAGGAAGAGAGGAAGATTAGAACGAAACAGGCTAGAGGCATGGTACAGGTGGACGGGATAGATGTAAAATGAAGAGGAAACTATCCCTGTCAGTGATGAGGCAGCCAGATGGTGCAGTGGATATGGGTCTGGGGTCAGGAAGTTGTTTTGTTCTTCTGTGCCACCTAGCTGCCCTGGAGTCAGGAGGACCTGAATTGAAATCCAGCCTCAGATACTTATTAGCTGTGTGTCCCTGGGCAAGCCACTTAACCTTGTTTGTCTCAGTTTCCTCATCTGGAAGCTGGAGAAGGAAATGGCAAACCAGTCCAGTATCTTTGCCAAGAAAATTCCAAATGGGATTGTGATGAGTCAGATACGATTGAAATGACTGACCACCACCACCAACAGTGTGAGTGAGGGTAAGAACGAGCATGGTACTTGGGTCCAGTCCATCTGCAGAAGAGGAACTATATGGGGAAAAGGTGAGAAGTAAGGTTAATTATGTAAGGTAGGGCCAAGTATGTGGGGTGGAGGCTTGAAGGCCAGAGAAGGCTGCTAAGGTGCTTGAGTAGAGGAATAAGAGGAGCGGTGCTGAAGTAAAACCGTCTGGAGGAATTAGAGACTAAAGGCAGGAGAAGGCCAGCTCAGCTACTACCATTTACAGGGGTGAGGTGACAGAGTGACAGTGCCCAAGGCAGGAGATATGAAAAAGGAAGCATCTACACAGCTTGATTGCTTGGGAGTGATGATCAAAGGACAAGCAAAGACTGGAAGACCACTGGCAAGCTAGGTGGAATTTGTGCTATGCCTAGTGCCGAGCACAGTGCCTGGCACAGACTAGGCATTGAATGGGAATTTTTCTTTCTAATTGATTGATAGGATTTTTTTTTCAGATGCAGGTTGGATTGGATGGCCACCAAGGTCTCTTCCAACTCTGATTCTTTGACTCTTTGAGGAGGATTCAGAAGTATTTGAGGGATCAAGGCCTGGAGAGTAGGAGATAGTGATGGTGCTGCTGAGAGAGAAAAATTTCCACGGAGCAATTTGGAACTATGCCCAAAGGGCTATAAAACTGTGCATACCCTTTGACCCAGCAATAGCACTTCTAGGGCTGTATCCCAAAGAGATCATAAAAATGGGAAAAGGACCCACATGTACAAAAATATTTATAGTAGTTCTTTTTGTGGTGGCAAAGAAGTGGATATTGAGGGGATGCCCATCAACTGAGGAATGGTTGAACAAGTTGTGATATATGAATGTAATAAAATACTATTGTGCCATAAGAAACAATGAGCAGGCGGACATCAGAAAAACCTGGAAAGACTTGCATGAACTGATGCTGAGTGAAGTGAGAAGAACCAGGAAAACATTGTACACAGTAACAGCAACATTGTACGATAACTAACTTGGGTAGACTTAACTCTTCTTAGCAATGCAAGGATCTAAGACAACTCCAAAAGACTCATGATGGAAAATGTTGTCCACATCTAGAGAAAGAACTATGGAGTCTGAATGCAGATTGAAGCATACTCTTTTTCCTTTTTTTTTTCCTTTCTCATGGTTTTTCCCTTTGGTTCTAATTCTTTTTTTTACAACATGACTAATGTGGAAATATGTTTAATATGATGTACATGTATGGCCTATATCAGATTGCATGCTATCTTTGGGAGGGGAAGAAAATTTAAAATTCAAAATCTTATGAAAGTGAATGTTGAAAACTAAAAATAAATATATATATTTTTAAAAAGTTAGCCAATGGTTACACCATCCAGTTTCTAAGGATGAAAAGGTCTTCCCATTGGGAAGGCAATGGATTAGAAAATGTTGAAGAATTAACATTGGGTCATTTCTTTCTGGGAAGTTTTATAAGGGCCCATTGAGATTCACTGCAGGCTTTACAAGAGTCAATACATATGGAAACAATGAGTTTCAAGCTCATTTGTTGAGAGACGGGGTCACTGATAAATCTTGATTGTCGTGAGGGAGAAAGGTTTTGAGTGCGGACCAGGGGATGGATTGTCATGCCTGTCTGCTGCTGGAGTTGTCCCAGCCTTGCTCAAAGTGAGTCCACAGAAGATTCCCAATGATTTTATTTAATTACAAAAAGCAGCTGTTTTATCTTCCTCTGAAACAGACCACAGAACATTAAATATGAAAGATGATGGCTCCTAGTGAATTCCCTTTAAAAAGGACTCTGGGGGTATTTTGCAGGTACTTACAAAGACACATGTAGTGTCGCCTGATAGAATGTAAATGGTTTCACCTTTTTTTTTTAATCCCCCAGTGCCTAGGGTACCTGGCACATAGTAGGCAATTAATCAATGATGAATAGCAGGATAGAGACTTGCCCTAAGACCCTTTCTATCTAAACTCCATTTAATAAGACAAGACTAATGATGTTGATGAAGTTAAGGATAGATTAGACTTGGGATTTCAATGTAATAGGGAACTCCCAGGTGAGGAAAGGGAGAGTGCAGGTCATCACATTCTCAGAAACTTAAGAATTGCCTAGAACATGTGGAGATTAAATAACTTGTACCAGGACACACAGTTATTATGGAGTAAGAGCTAGAATTTGAAAGTGGGTCTTCCTGGCTTCAAGGGTAGCTCTGCATCCCCTATATCACACTGCTTAACAAAATAATATGATGATAAAAGATGAGAGGAATCACTGATTTAAACCTCCCCATTCCAGCTGGGGATGTGGAGTCCAACCCCCCCCCAATTTTTCAAATGAGGAAACCAAGGCACAAACAGTAGTTGTTTGAGGTGGGATTTGAACTAGGTCCTTGACTCCAAAGGCAGTGCTCTACCCATGGTGACTCATTGCCTCTCAAATGCAAATTTCATAAGATTAATAATAATGATATTAATAATAATAAGCCTATTGAAATTGAATCTGAGAGGCAGCAAGGCACTGTGGATAGAACACTGCCTTTGGAATTACATATACTCTTTAAAGACTTCAGAGTACTTTTTCATTCAGAATTTAATTCAATTGTCACAATAGCCCTCATGAAGTAGGGAGCAGGATAGACAGAATCATCACTATTTCACAAATGAGAAAACTGAGTCTCAGCGATGTTAAACACTTGGTTATGGTTGGAGAGGAGAAGGGGCACAGCTTGGATCAGAAGAGCCTGTACTCCTACCATACCACACTGATTTCTCATTAAGGGTGTGAAAAACCCTGGGGAAATCAGTGTACTTTCCACAGTTTTTAAGGGAGTGGGTAGATTGTATATTTTTGGCCAATTTCAGAGGCCGAGCTGTTTTCAATTCCAGCTAGAAATTGCATAAATAAACAAACAATTAACTGGCTCTTCGTTCCTTCCAGCCGGACACGGCAGTGGCCTGTTTTCTCCATCTCATTCCACCTGGGACAAACCATTTGCTAAAAAGTTCTGCCAGAATGTTGGTGGTGTCTAGGGAGGGGAGGTGAAGAGCGGGGTGGAGATGCTGGACAGTTCCGGAAATGTTTTCCTCCCCTACCACCCACATTGAGAAGGAACCATGCACAGATGCTAACCCAAGGCCGTGGGGGGAGTGAACCGGGGATGATGAGAATAAACTCTTCTTTTTCAGACTTGGACATGTCCAACAGCCTCAGAGCCCACTGGGATCTCTTACCCGAAGAAACGACGGGAAGCCTTGTCCGTAGTAACCGACAGCAAAGTACTCTGGCTGGGGCCTCATTGCTTTAATGATGTTCTCATAAAACGAGGCCCGTTTTTTCTGAAATGAAAGAAAGAATGGAAATGTTGGGACTAGGAGCCATGGAGCTTAGAGATCACACAGATAACTTTTGTGAAGCAAGGAGAAGCAGAGCCAAGAGCACCACAAATACAAAGACCACAGTGATGTAAATGGAAGGACCAGCACCACGAAAATCTGACGTCGATGTTATAAAATGACAAAGGACACACCTGGCCCAAGAGAAGACAGGAAAGCTTATCCACCCGACTCCTTTGTAGACGTGAGGGAGGGGGCCCACGGCAGTGCCCCACTGCATATAATGTCAGATAATGCCAATGCATTGATCAGTTTTGTTGAATTTTTTTTCTCTTTTTTCCCTTTCTCTCGTAAAAAAAAATCTTTATTATAATGCATGACTCTTTGGGAGAAGGAAGGAGAATGCACGCAGGGAGACATTTAGGTGATACAAAATCAAAATTTGTTGAAAAAAAGAGTGAATAGCCATGGAGCTTGGAGACTACACAAGAATATTAATTGTCATTACAAAGCACTTCAAGGTTTACAAGGGGCTTTTTGTAGCAGCAAAAAAGTGAGGGGAAAAGTAAATGCCCAACAAGTGGGCAATGTCTAAACAGGGTGTGATTCATGAACGGTATGGAATATCACTGAGCTATACAAAACAATATATATGAAGAGTGCAGAGATGCATGGGAAGAATTCCATGGAGTTCAGAGTGAAGGATGCAGAAGACCACAACATACGCAATGACAAGAACAAGGCGAATAGCTAGAATGGCGTCAGAAGTGAATGTGGTGAAGTTATAACGACCCCAAAGAACAGACGTGAGAAGAAAATTGCCTTCTGCCCCAGCCCTCTACTTTTATAGAGGTGGGGGACGATGGGGGTGGAACACTGGCTATTATGCCAGCTTTGTCAATACGCTGGTTAGTTTTCTTGTATGTTTTCCTCCCCTTTCTCTTTCTTATTCTTCCTTATTCACTCTCTGGTAAAAGGGAGGGTAGGATTGAATGGGAAATGTAAATATCAATGAAGATTTACTTTTAAAAGAAATGAGACAAAAATTTCCCCCTCTTTTTTTTTTTAATCTTTAAAATAATTTTTTTTTTGTTTGTCGAATAGAGTGACTTTCTGGGAGGGAAACGATACTGGGAAAATTTTGATGATATTAAAAAAAACCCAAAGACATCCATAAAAAGTATTTAAACAATGTAAATGAAAAATGAAAAGATATCAATAAAATTTATTTAAAAAAAATGAAAAGGATTAAAAACTAAGAAAATAAAACCCTGTGTGTTTTTAATGACTGATTAAGACCCTGAGGAAGAGATGACAAAGTGTATCTCCTTCCCTTCTTTGCAGACTGTAGGCGTGGACACTGCAAAAACTATAGGATTTGGTTTGCTGTTTTGCTTTTTCTAAACTTTTATAAATTTCTTTTTTTGTTTGTTTTTTGTTTTGTTTTTGGGGAGGCAATTGAGGTTAAGTGACTTGCCCAGAGTCACACAGCTAATAAGTCAAGTGTCTGGTCTAAGACAAGATTTGAATTCAGGTCCTCCTGACTCCAGGGCCGGTGCTCTGTCTACTGCGCCACCTACCTGCCCCAACTTTTATAAATTTCTAGATACAATGAGAAATTAGGGAGGAATATATTGAGAAATGAAGGCATTGAACAAAGTTTTCTATAAATATTACCTCATTTGTGCTTCACCTTGTGAGATAAATTGAACAGGCATTATTATTCCCATTTTGCAGGGTGTGTGTGTGTGGGGTGGGGGGAACCGAGTTTCAGAGAGAACAAGTTACTTGCTTAAGGTCACAAAGCTAATAAATAAAAACCCAGTTCTTCCTGACTCCAAGTCCAATGTCCTGGTCCTGCTTTTTTTTTGTGTGTGTGTGTTTACTAAGGATGAACATTGGGAAACTGAACCAAACCCTTCCATTCATGGAAGGCCAGTATGGGCTAGACCTGCTCCTTCCTAATTCAGTTCCATGAGGCTGTAGCTGGGGGTCCCAATGGACTCAATGTTAGACTTGGAACTCAGGAAGACCTGAGTTTCCATCTTACCTTAGACATCGTCTAGCTATGTGACTCTGAGCAAATCACAACTTCTTTCAGACTCAGTTTCCTCATTTTGAGGGTTCAAGCAAGTTAACGTATTAGAAGCACTTTGCAACCCTTCAAGTGTTATATAAATGCTGACTAGCCTCCTCATCCTTCAGAGAGGTCTAGGCTTAGGGATGTTTGGAGCAAAGGGGATGACCCTTAAAGAGTTTGAGGTTGGCCCCTGCTCTCGTTTTCTATCTCTGGTAACTTCCATCAGCAGAGAACAGGATATTGTCTCTACCAAAATGTTTCCCTAATTTTGAAAACATTTCAATGAAAACAAAGTTTAGCAAGATTTTTGCTAGGCTCGTCACCCCCTGAAGCCCTCCTGAATAGCAGGGGCCCAATGGATGTGACTCGTGTGACCCTCTAGAACCTGCCAGAGCGACCCCCTCGGGGACTCACCAGGAGGTTGCCAAGCCCCTCGTAGTCAAACACTTTGCTCTCGTAGGTCTCGGCCAACTCCTTGCTGAGTTTGATGGCTTTCTCCCACATCTTCCGGAAGACAGAGGTCAGGATGGGGATGGAAAACAAGAGAACGATTGTATCAGCTGCAAAAACCATTCATGAGAATGCAGGAGAAGCAGCAGGCCGGCAGCTGGGTTGAGTTACTGCCGACATTCCCGGCTGCCTGGCTCTCTCGGATCAGCTTGACCCCTCGCTGACATTAGAGACTTTCTATGTCTCTTGGCCACTTGGCCAAGGAGGCATCTTCCTCTCACTTCTGCCTGCCAGACTCTGAGGAATGCCGTGCTCCCATAACAATGTCAGAAAGAGTTTAGAGGACAAGGTACAAGAAGCATTAGGACCTGGACAGCGGCCAAGTTTATTTGATGAGAAAGCCAGCTCTGGCTCAGCGATTAAGTTGACAAAGAGGTAAGGAACGAGGTGAGACAAGAGCCCTGAGTTCTAATTTTGAACTCCCTGGCCATAGCATTGTGGTTTTCCCCTCAAAGGTGACCTTGCATCCTCTCTGTATGGAACACGTACATACCTGTCTTTTTACAAGTAGACTTATCCAATAGAATACAAACTCCTGGAGAGCAGGGTCTGTTTTTGCCTTTCTTTGTATCAGAGATGATGCATTTAAATTGCACTAGAAAAATATCAGGCAATATCCTATTCTCTCTCTAACTGAGAGATTGATTATAAGAGATGAGGCTGGACCAGTGATTTTTCTTTCTTTCTTTCTTTCTTTCATTCTTTTTTTTTTAGACCAATGATTTCATTGGAGTCTTTAAAGAGTGGCCTTGATCAGTGGGTGGAACTTAAGTAGAAATGGGGCCATTAAATTAAGGAACCCTGATGCTGGCTATTGACTTAGAAAACCACATATTAACATTATCTATGTTCTATTGTATTTTTATTTATTTTGTTAGAAATTTCCCAAGTACATTTTAATCTGGTTCCGGGAACACTCAGGGTGCCTATGTCAAGGGCGTTTGATGCCTCTGGTCAAGAGCCCCGAGAGAAGTTAAGTGAGTTGTCCAGGGTCACATAGACAGTATGTGTTAATTCATCTAGGCCTGAGCCTGGGTCACCCTGATTTCAAGACTGGCTCTTTATTTATTATGTCCCGGCTGCTTCTTAGTATCAGGAACTGCAGGCCCAAGAATCCATATTCATGGTGACCATTTCTCATCCTGTTTCCAGGAGACCTGGGGGATCAAATCCTGCTTAAGCCACTTACTATCTGTGTGACCACGGACGAGTCTGTAAGACTCTATAAGCCTCAATTTCCTCATCTGTAAGATGGGGATGACAAAAATAGCACCTCCTTCTGAGGACTGTTGTTGGGGTCATTAATAACATAAGGGGGATCAGGTGCTTTGCAAACAGTAAAGGGTTATTTACAAGCCTATTAAGCTTCAAGGATTTATTTAGCCATAAATGTGAGTTTTGAGGAGAATTTTGAAAATGATGTGGGAAGTAAGGTCAAAGACACATTATGCAGTCAGGTCAAACAGCCCTCCAGTATCCTCTCCTCCCCACCACACACAGACTTCCAGATTCATGCTAAACTGTGCAAGCCAACACTAACAAGAGAACGGACTGCAGCGGTTGAGGCTGGTGCCCCCAGAGAGTTGTCCTATCGATATCAGTCAGCCAAGAGGTTGGGAAGAGCAGAGGAGAAGGACTGAATAGGTGCCTGCTACCCCATCTCCAACAACTCCAACAAGCCTTGGGACACCTCTGTTCAGGCTCTTTTTGTAAGACACCAACAACAACAGTTGACAATTACTTGGTTTACAAAGCCCTTTCTTCACAAGTCATAGGATCACAGAATTTAAAGCTGCCAAGTACCTGAGAAATCATTGATTTCTATACTCATTCTACAAATGAGGAAACTGAGGCTCAGAAGAGGAAGCAGCCTACCTAAGGGCAAACATACCAAGTAGGTCATATTCCCATTTTTGCTGATGGGAGGAAAAAAAAAAAACCCTGAGGTTCTGAGATGTGAATTGTTTTGCACAGTCAATTTGTTCAGAAAATGTCAAACCAGAATTAGAACCTAGGTCTTCTGACTCCAGGAAAAATGTCTTTTCCATTCCACCTCCTGGTCTAGCTGCAGAGAGGCTTTTTAGTTTCCTTTTCTCCTCTGATTAGGCCAACTAATCCCAGCATCATGATCCCTTAGACCTTTCTCCCTTTCATTTCTTCAGGAGCTTCTGTCCCTTATTTTTTTTTTTTGAGGGGGGAGGATTCAGAGGTAATCAAGACATGAATGTCTCCTAAGAAGCCAGAAGAGCTGTTCTCCTTTTTATCTCTGTATCCCCAGTCCTAGGAGAGAGCCTGGCAAATTGTAAGTGCCCAATAAATGCTTGTCTGATTGAGCTGAATTATTGGCCATCCGGTCCAAGCCCATCGAGGGACCCAAGGCACGATGTAGCCACGTCAGGACTTGACCCCCAACTGCTCCTCCAGAAGACACTCACTTTGCCCTTGTCGAAGTACGAGATGATTTCTTGGTACAACTTCTCTTTGAGCTCCAGTTGGGAATACACATGGTAGCTGTCCCTCTGGAGCAAGTGGGGCACACAGGGCTTGTCTGACCACTAGAAAAGAAGAAAAAAAACCAGACATATGAACAAATACCAAGCAATATCATAAAACCAAAATGCTTGCGCCTTACAATGACTTCAACTGAGTTTTTTCCTCCAATGGTACGTTAGCTGGAATCCTCTATGCCATCATTGGGTTAGCCCTCTTCCTTCCTTGGTGAATTCTTACCAGGGCCTCCATTTTGGAGAGAGACCTAGGCTGGCCAGCCTTTATTTCCCTCTTTGCTGTGCTTCTGCCCTTCTGGACTTTAATACCATGCCCATACATGGCACTCCCCTTTCAGCCACCTTTTGCGCTTTGTCTTTCCCCCACTAGAATATGAGATTCTTAAGGGCAGGGAATGTTTTTCTTTCTCCTTGTATTGCATGCCCAGCACTTTGCACCATGCCTGGTACACAGTGAGGGTCTGACAAATAAATGCCGGTTGCCTTGCCTTGTCCAGATCTGTGATTTCACGAGTGCAGGGAAGTCTTGGTGAGGAAATTCTCTTTCCCCACACAGATCGGTACCCGCCCTCTAACTTAGAATCTTATAGCATTGCCTGGAGCAAAAGAGGTAAAATAACTTGTCTAGTATCATAGAGCCAGCCACAGATAAGATCTGAACTCAGGTGTTCAGCTAAGGCCATCCCTTGCTTTTCAATGTATGATCTGAATATATCTGGAATACATAATATGAGAAGATGTTTTAAAACAGTTCCATCCAATAAAATGGAAGCTCTCTGAGGGGAGGGACTGCATCATTTTTGTCTTTGCATCTCCTATGCCTAGCACAGTTCCTGGAACACAAAAGGTGCTTAGTAAATGCTGTCTGAATGGTTAACTTGAATTGTTCCTGTAATAGCTAAGCGGTACAGTAGAAAGGCTAAGATGAGGGATGGGGTGGGACAGCTGGGTGGTGCAGCGGATAGAGCAAGGGGCCCTGGAGTCAAAAAGACTCATCTTCCTGAGCTCAAATCTGGCCTCAAACACTTACTGTGTGACCCTGGGCAAGTCACTTAATCCTGTTTGCCTCAGTTTCTTCATCTGTAAAATGAGCTGGAGAAGTAAATGGCAAACCACTCCAGCATCACTGCCAGGAAAACCCCAGATGGGGTAATGAAGAGTTGGATATGGCTGAACAACAACAAGCATTCATTCATTCATTCATTCATTCTTATCCTGCACTGTTCTTGCCTGCTTCCTTCCATAAATCCTCCTTGGAGAATATGCCCATCACACTGGAGGTCTCTTTTTGGGTCTTTATATATTGTGTAGATAGCAGCGGCCTCTGGGCCCCCTGGGTTGTCTACCCAGCATCTTTGACCACACGACTTGCTCACCTCCTTTTCTGATCTTGCAGTTCCTGGATAAGATCTATTAAACCTCCTCTTCTGCCAGAGTTACAGCAGGAATAAGATGTAACCCATTCACACTCCCCATCCATTGTTTTCCTCAAGTCCAGTCTGGGTGATCAGAGATTATAATATTCCATAACTACAAGTCTTGCAGCATCAGTAGGAGATGGTGAGGGCTGAAAAGATGGGTTCTCAAGACAGGTAACTGCCTGGAGTTGTTGAGAGTGCTACAGAGTTGGCCGAAGGCAAATGAAATAATAAAAACCCCAAACCAAGCCCGGGTTAGGAACATTTGCTGATTTCCAAGGTGCAGATGCTCTCACGAGCCTTCAGCACACCCCTGCCCCACGACTTGCCACACAGTAAGAGCTTAACAAAATTTCATTGATTTTTTTTTACTTTATACTTATTTTGTATAACAATAATAACAACAATCATAGCAGCAGCAGTGGTAGCTAGCATTTATACAAATATTATCTAATTTTATCTTTATAACAACTCTTGGAAGTAGGTGCTATTATTATCCCCCTTTTATAGATGAGAAAAGTGAGGTTAGTGACTTATCCAGGGGTCACATAACTATTAAATGTCTACTCAGGTCTAAAATTCTCCACGGTGTCACCAAACTATATATATATATATACATATACATATGTTATTTTCCCCAATGGAATGTGTTTCTTGAAGACATTTCATTTCTATCTTGGTATCACCAGAGCCTAGGACAGCATCTGGCACATAGTAGGTGCTTGAAATTCTTGCTAATTGATCAAAATGAGGATGATTAAACCAACTTTTTTTGAATGGCTTTGGGAGTATTGGTCAGTATTATGGAGCTGGATACAATCAGCACAGTTTCATCTGCAAGTGGGAGTAGCTGGGGGCTGTCTCCAGATATATGGAATCTCTCTTCCATTTACCCTCTGCACAGGACTTCTTCTTGGACAGAGGCATCAAAGTTGAGAAGAGATCCTGATTTATGCTTAACTTGATAATGATAATAAGATGGCCAAACAAAGTAAAGTATGGGATTTGAGTCGTCAAAGAATGTTATGATTTTAACAAATGGATGAGGCCCCTTGGCTAAGGAGAACCTTTGTCTCTAGGTCATACACCAGATTTAGAGGGAGAAGAGACCTCAGAGCCCACCTAGTCAAATCTCAGAGGTTGCATTTTTCTCCTTTATAATCACCAAACGGTAAATTCAGAAGGATCTCATATCGTCTACACATTCCAGTCAATTGCGTGACTGTGAAGATGGGGTCAGATGTCTCATCTGTGCAGACCAGCCTATTTCCTTCACAAATTTTCATCAGGGATGTTATTCAGTCGTATGTGACTCTTTGTGACCCCATTTGGGGTTTTCTTGGCAAAGATAATGAAATGATTTCCCATTTCCTTCTCCAGCTCATTTTACAGGTGAAGAAACTGAGGTAAACAGGGTTAAGTGACTTGCCCAGTGACTTGTCTGAGACTGGATTTGAACTCAGGTCTTCCTGACTCTATCCACTGAGCCTTTCACTGATACCTTTGATCTATGTGTAAATCAATTTCAGAAAGAATTAATGGAAGCCTTTGGCTGGTAATTGCTGATGTCTTTGGGATCCCCTTTCTGGGTAGCTGTATAGCGTCTGTTCTTCTAATTCATTGGTATCCGCTTCACTTGGAGGCACGTGACCTTGGGCAAGGTAGTGAGTGTGAGTTTCTTTCTCTGAAGATGGCCCAAATGACCAACAAGTTCCCTTCCAGCTCTAGCCAGCTCCTCTGTGACACGCAGTCTCCAGGGGCTGCCCAGGGTCACACACATAGACAGTGGGTGTCACAGATGGGATTTCACCCCAAGTCTGCCCGGCTCTGGAGTCAGGGCCCATAATACCATGAGGACAATCAGAGGATTACGGATTTCTCGCCGGCCTGGACCGCGGAGGCCAAATACAGATTGTGCGTGGCACCATAATGATGATGACAAGAGTAACGGTCATTACTACCACTAACCTATCGTAGAGAGTGCTTCAACATTTGTAAAGTGGTGTCTCTCCTACCTGGAGGAGCTCCGCGTGCAGCAGGAGGGTGTTGGCGGCCTCCGTGTAGTTCTCACAATCCCGATGCAGGTCCCGAAGCTTGTACAAGTACCTGGGGGAACGAAGGACAAGGAGGGAACCCAAGTTACCCATAGGAGGCCTCCTACCATCTGTCCCGGCCTTATCACTCTAGAACACACCGCCTTCCCAGTTGGACTGTAAGCTTCTTGGGGGCGGGGTCTGCTTTGTGCCTTTCATTCCATCCCTAGCGCTTAATAGAATGTCTGGCACACAGAGGCACTTAATAAATGCTTGTTGGCTGATTGATATACTCTAATAATCCTCTGTCACCTGACTGTATCTTCTGTCTCTCCAACTATTTATCTCTGTTCTCAATGGAGCAATAGATTTGAAATTGCCCCCCCGTCAATCTGGCCAATCCATGCCATCAACTCTTCAGGGCCTCACTGGATGACTACGTCTTTCTTTTAGGGGAAATATTTATAATAAAACAACAACTGGAAGTGTTCAACAGGAAACATTAAATGAATTGTGTCATCGATACAGAGCTGGAAGAGACGTCAGAGGTTATGTTAATAATAGTTAATTACTGTTGTTGTTAAGTCATTTCATTTGTGTCTGACTTTGTGACCCCGTTTGGGGTTTTCTTGGTGAGGATACTGGAGTGATTTGCCATTCCTTCTCCAATTCATTTTACAGAGGAGGAAACTGAGGCAAACAGGTGAAGTGACTTGCCCAGGGTCACACAGCTAGTGAGTGTCTGAGGATGGATTTGAACTCAGGAAGATGAGTCCTCCTGATTCCAAGCCCAGCGCTCTGTGCACCATGGCATCACCTAGCTGCCCATGAGACAGTTAAGGCAGATATTATTATTTCCATTTCTCAGAAGAGGAAACCAAGGCTCTGAGAAGGGAAAGAGGCATGCCAAAATTCACATGACCACAAGTGTTGAGGCTGGGATTTGAACAAGTCGTCCCCTGTCTCCAAGTCCCGGGTTGTTCCTATGTTTATGATGCTTTGCTCATAAAGTCCATGTTTCATTTCTGAGAGGCAGGATGTGGTGGTAAATAGAAGGCTGGTCTTGGAGGTGAGGAGATCTGGGTTCAAGTCCTAACTTTGATAAGGAGATATGTGATCCTGGGCAGTGACCTAGCCTCTCAGTGCCTCTAATGACATAATTTACAGAAGATTTGCTGATTTTCTTCAAGGGAGGGAGTTTCTATGCCAGAAGTTTGTCACATGAATGAGATTCCAGGTCCAGACCAAGAAATAAAAGTCTTGTGGTCACCAGCAGGGTTTAATCTCCTTTAAGAGAGGGGTTCTATCTCATACTTTTTTTGTGTCTACTCCTCCTCCACCGGTCCCCTCCCTGCACCCCTCCCCCCATGTAGTTGGTGGTCAATACATATTTGTTGTGGAATTGATGAATCAAAGAAGAGCAGAGTTAAGAGGAATAGAGACAAATACCAGTTTTTTTCAGCTTACCTTATGTAAATGTCCTCTCTCTTCTTTTCCTTATAGAAATTCTGCCAAAATAAAATTATAACATTGTATTATAAATACAGGTTTCTTGATGGATGTTTCATCGGAACATTAAACATCTCATTAAACATCTAAATTCAGTTGTTACGCTCTCCCCATCTCTCTCTCTCACACAAATGTTGACTCACCTGACGGGGGGCTGAGGTTAAAAACACACCCAGCCTGACCATACACAAAAGCATGAAACCACGGCGAAATGGCCTTTGGGAAAGAGTTGGGTCAGGAGCTTATGGTGCAGGTTGCCATCCTGGTTTCTTAATTTATCTTCAAAGTTAAAAATATGCAAGTGTCCTTAGCCTGATCAGCTGGCGCCAGCATCAGCTGCTTCTGCTGGAGTAAACTCAGCAGGGCTGAGGACCAGGGAACGGTCATTCCAGGGTCAACAGTAGCTTTGGCTGGCCGGGGATCAGCCAGGTACGCAGGAAGGCCTTCTGGACTTAGGTGTTTGTTTCTTATATATTTAATGTTCAGGTAATCCATGCATTCATATATACATACATACATGTATGAACATATATACATGTTCATGTATATATCTATGTATACTTAGATGTACAGGCTTTCCCCCAATAGAATGCAAGCTCTTTGAGGCTAGCGACCATTTTGCTTGTGTGTGTGTGTGTTCCCAAAGACTAGCTCTGTTCCTGGCACTCAGTGCCCTCCGATGCTGGCAGGCCGGTGAGCCCTGGGCCGGGGGGGTGCCTCACGTACCAAAACATTGACAGTACAGCTCATGCGATTCTCTCTGCTTTCATCATGCATGATGGTCCTGTAATCCAGCAGGTTTTCCAAGAGGCTGCTGACCAGGAGGGCAAAGACTTCTCCAGAGCTGGCCAGGTATTTGTGTTTGCGGCAGTGTTCTAGGAGTCTGTGGGGAGGAAGGAAGGGAAGAGATGTCCATGATCCCATGAGCTCAAGGTCCAGCTGCTATCACCTGCCACTTCTTTCCTGTATATTACCTCCCCCTCCCCCCGCCCTGAAACCGTCTTCACTTAAAAGCATTAGCCAAAGACCCCACGTGCAGCATTTTGTTGTTCAATCATTTTTAGTGTGTCTGACTCTTCATGACCCCATTTAGGGTTTCCTTGGTGAAAATACTGGAGCGGTTTGCCATTTCCTTCTCTAGCTTATTTTACAGATGAGGAAACTGAGGCAAACAGGGTGAAGTGACTTGCTCAAGGCCACAGCCGCTAAGTATCTGAGGCCAGATTCGAACTCAGTAAGATAAGTCTTGCTGACTCCAGGCCCAGTCAACTGCGCCACCCTATGTGAGGTGCACACAGTACCAATGGCTTTCAGCAGGTCAGCAAAGCAGACACAACCCTACAGGATCGATGGTGTTTCCTTGACTTTGTGGTGCTGGGCTCCTCCTTGTACTCAAGGGAGAAATGCCCCAACACAGTGGATGGAACCTCTGTGGAAAACTTATGGAAGAATGTGGTCAACAGTGTGTCGGCACAATGAATGGAGTGCTGAGTCTAGACTCAGGAAGATGTGAGTTCAAATCCAGCTTTGGACATGTATTTATTTATTCATTTATGTATTTATTTATCTATTTATTTTTGCTTTTTTTTTGGGTGAGGCAATTGGGGTTAAGTGACTTGCCCAGCAGCCTTGGACATTTAATAGCTGTGTGACCTCTCGGGGAAACATGTCTGCCTCAGTGTCCTCATCTGGAAAATGGGTATAATAATAGTATTTACCTCCTTGAGTTTTTGTGAGGGCAAAGTGATACAACATTTTTAGAGCATTGTGTAAACTTTAAAGTGCTACATAAATGCAAATTATTATTAAGAGTCACACATGATCTCCAGGAATGACTAGCAACATTGGAGGGAACGTCCCCATTAATGACATCATAGTATCATCGGGGAATACTTATAAAGCATATGGTGCCTGGCACATAGTAGGTGCTTAATAAATGCTCAAAGATTAATTGACTCATTGGCAAAGCTTTACCATTTGCCAATTTTTTTTTTTTACATACATTATATATCTGCCTAGGGGTCTCTTTTCCCAACTTTATTGTTGTTGTTTGAGGATGTGTCCTATGCCCATTGCCACCGTCCTCAAACAGCAACAATAAAAGGGCTGAAGGACAGACAGACAGACGGACAAAGACAGAGAGACAGAGACAGAGAGAGAAGAAAGATGGTAGAGTCATTTAACCTCACAGAGCCGCATCTAAGACAAAGCACCAAACTGTTGATAGAGGAACTTTTCTCACTGGGAGTGCCCTACACTGATCAAATCACAGGTTTGGTTTTAAAAAAAAAAAAGATAAGTTTACTTTACTGCCTTTAGGCAGCATTGAATGTTGATATCTTATCACCATTGGACTTGGGATCAGAAGCGGACCTGGGGGCATATAAAATGAGGATAATAATGCCCAGATATTTAGCTCGCAGGGGTACAGTATAGCTATGTGCCTCTGATGACCACCCTGGCAGGTAGGTTCTACCAGTGTAAACTGATAGGTCAGATGGAAGCCTGGAGGCATATGTGAGGCTAACAAAAGTATTCAGGTGAGAGCTTCTGAGGCTCCGAGCTAGCCAGGGTGGTCTCTGCCGGAGTGGAGAGAAGCCAGATTCAGAGTTACTGTGGAGACAGACGCAGCAGGACCGGTCCCAAGCTCTGCAGACTGAGCACTCCGTTCTTTCCCGTGTACGAGAAAAGCTTGTTTCAGGACACCCTCCAGTCTCCATGTGCATGGAGGGCACTTGGGAGCTCTGCATGTGCCCCCCTGTATCCAGTTCACAAAACCTGACCAAGCCGTCTGTCAGAAGTCAGTAATCCAGGACCCCCAAGGGAGAGAGCAGCTGGGGGAGCCTTTGTTTGGAAATCATCGGCTGCTTAGCGTTTCTAAATACCATCCAGGGGTGTGTGTGTTTTATGGCTCCGCTTCTCGGCTGCGGCCAAAGCAGGAAGGGTGGGGCAAAGGGAAAATAGAGGAAGGAGATTCTGATATCCTCATTTCATATGCCCCCAGGTCCCCCTTCTGATCCCAAGTCCAATGGTGATAAGATATCACCATTCAATGCTGCCTTTACTTATTTTTTTTTAAAACCAAACCTGTGATTTGATCAGTGTAGGGCACTCCCAGTGAGAAAAGTCCCTCTATCAACAGTTTGGTGCATTGTCTTGGATGGGGCTCTTTGAGGTTAAACGACTCTACCATCTTTCTTTTCTCTCTGTCTCTGCCTCTCTGTCTTTGTCTGTCTGTCTGTCCTTCAGCCCCTTTATTGTTGCTGTTTGAGGATGGTGGCAATGGGCATAGGACACGTCCTCAAACAACAACAATAAAGTTGGGAAAAGAGACCCCTACGCAGATAACTTTGCCATCTCTAAAATAAGAGCACCTACATCACAGGGTTGTTGTGAGGGGCAGATCTCTGTGCCTTTGCCCAGGCTGTGCCCCCTGCCTGGAATGCCTTTCCTCTTCACTAATGCCTCTTAGCATCCCAGGCTCCTTCAAAACCCAGCTCCAGTACCATCTCCTACGTGGGGCATGACCTGATGCCAGCCCTCTCTTCCATCTGCTCAGGTCTCTCGGGCCAGGCTGGTGAGGGACAAATATGGAATTTCTGACTCATCATCATCACCTGGGGCTGACAGCTGATGGCGTAAGCTCCCGCCAGCCTGGTCAAGGACCATTCAGCCTCATGACACTCATGATTTTGAGTCTGGCCCCAAATCCCTTAATAAGCCAGACTGAGAGCCGGCCTCAGGTTTGGGTGTGGGGGACACTCACAGCTTCTCCAGCAGGACTTTGTACTGTTCGTCACCTCGGCCACCTTCCACCTCCTGGTCTAACTTTGTGATCAGCTCGTTCTCAAACTGGAAGGAGATGCAGCAGATAGAGGGCAGTGTGAGACCCTTCGAGGGGGCTGGAGCCCATCCCCACCCTCACCAGGGAACCAGACTGATTCCAAGACCAAAGTTCATTATTATGATCCCCCCCCCCCCCCTCACTGAGAGCAGCCACACCCTGGCCAGCCCCAGATTTCAGCAAATTCCTCCCCAGGGCTTTCAGAATCGGCTGGAATTTAGCATTCTAAGATCAGAGATTTAGACCCAGGAGGGCCCTTAAGGCGGAGTTTCTTAAGCTGAGGTCTATGACTGTGTTTTTAATATTATGATAACTTTTTTAGTAGACATAGATTTCTTTGTAATCCCATGTATTTTAGTTAATCCATTTACAAACTGCTCTGAGAAGGGACTCATAGATTCACTAGACTGCAAAAGGGTCCATGACATTAAAAACAAAAATTAAGAATTCCCTACTCTGTGCCAGGCCCTGTACCATGTGCTTTTCACAAATATCTCATTTGATCCTCACAACAGGTAACTGTTGTGAGGATAACTGTATATGAGGTAACTGTTATTATTAGCAATCCCATTTTATGGTTGAGGAAACTGAGGCAAACACAGGTGAAGTGACTGGCCCAGGGTCACACAGCTAATAAGTATCTGAGGCCAGTTTTGAACTCCGATCTTCCTGACTCTAGTCCAGCACTCTGTGCACTGCCCCATCAGCACCTTCTATATCATTGATCCAACTCTCTTATTTTACAGAGGAGGAAATTGAGATCCAGTGAGGTTAAGTGAGTAGGTGGTAGTTAGGTGGCATAGCAGAAAAAAAAGGTAGGACCAGGATTCAGGAAGACCTGAGTTCAAATCCCACCACAGACATTTACTAACTGTGTGCCCCTGGACAAGTCACTTAACCTCTATTTATTGGAGTTTCCTTATCTATAAAATGGAGATAAGGAGGATACATCCCTCCAGGGTTGTTGTGAGGATAAAATGAGATGTATTTGTAGAGGTCTTTGCAAACCTTAAAAGTAGTATATATATCTCTAGTATTATTATTATACTTTTTACTACTACTGTTACTATTAAATAGCTAGCACACATCAGAAGTGGGATTTGAACCCAGGTCTTAGTGACTCTAGGCCTAGTACTCTATTCATGGTATATCAGGCCGTCTCTATCATATGATTATATACACATGTATGTATAGGTATATATGCATATATACACACACACATATATGTATAGTTTTCCCTTCCACATCGCAGGGGTTAGGGGTACAACACCCCTCGACCTGGAAAATTTGCATAAAATTTTTTGACCTTCCCTTCATACCAGAGAAGTCTGAATTATTATGGCATTAAAAGATAAAATATGTTGGCATTATACAGTATACTATACATCTATTTTGTGCATTTCTGAGTTTCGGAACTTTTTCTGTGTCATCTGCGGCTTCTGCAAAACTCCTCCAAAATTCTCATTTAATTTCTGATGCCGACCCATAATATATCAGAACTGTGATGGGGAAAATCTGGATGTGGAAGGGATAACTGTATATGTATATATACACGTAACATATTTATACATACACATATAAAATATAAATGAAATATATTATAACCATGCTCATTTATATACATGCCTACATATGCATATAAAATACATATACATGCATACATAACATAACACACATGCAAGTATGCATAGATATATTACATAAATGGATCTATACACACACATGTGTGCATATCTATTCTGTTCTATATGCAGAAGAGTAACAGGAATTCCTGCCTTGCCTTAGTCAACCTGGATTACTTCCCCTCCAACATTCCTAGACCTATCTTAGTTAGGCTCTGCTC